CAATTAGTGAAAGAGGGGATACCTTTGTTTGCCTCCAGGACACCTAGCACAGCTCAGGGGACCAGGGCAGGGTATTTAGAACACTGAGTAAAAAACAGGAAAGACCGGCGAAAAGACATTAATGAAAAATTTTACATTAAACATACGCCACGAGTTTCTTTCAAGTTAACTAATACCGATAAACCGTGATATCGAGCGCACTTCTCCCAATCAGGATAGCAAAAACCAACACACCGTCCCCCCTCCGAACCTTTGAAAACGATCCAACTACAAAAAAATTCTCTTAAGACCTAGCTAACGATCTAGACCTTCCCGGCAGGGCGACCTAGATACGACACCTTGTTGGGAGACAGAAGGCAACAGATAATTGGGTCCTGTCCGGGGAGACACCAGTGCCCCAATGATTTTCGCTTTCCAAATATCCCCGCTTCCAGCTTTTCGGCTTCCCAAAAAAAAAAAAAATCAAGAAATACTAATTCGAATAAAGTTGCATCATGCAATTAATCAGGTCGACTTCCAGAAAGGGTGGGCTGACGAGCAAAACGCAGTCTTTTTACAATGGGCTGGCTGTTTTCTTAAATGCCTAAATCGAAAATCAAATGGGGCCGATCAACACTGGTTGAAGCAAGGCGGCCAGAAGGCGGGCTCAATAAGCCTTTCCAACTAAGATAAGCGATGATACAACCTAATATATGCGCTGCTCTTAATCAATATTACAAGCTGCGGAACTTCACCTTTCTGTACTCTTGTCAGCGAAGAGAGTCCAGAAAAAGCATTACGGTAGATGGGATTGTGATCAATTTTTCTGCGAAGAGCTCCTAAGTAACTCCGGAGCAACCGGGCTCAGCTTTAGAGCCTTTGGCTCCAAAAGCATGCAAATTCAATTTTTGACAGCTTTCACATCGATTATGTGGTCACAATTTGTTTGTTATTGCAGATTTATACATGAACGAGTATTGGACCGATCCAGGATTGGCGTACGCGATATTGAATCCATGCCAAGGAAATCTCTCATTTGATTGGACTGTTTTACAAAATATATGGACACCAAATACGTGCTTTGTAAATTCAAAGAAAGCACAAATTCATAGCTCGCCTTTCCGGAATGTTTTTCTAATGGTCTTTCCCAATGGTAAGATTTTACCTACAGTTTTTACTTACAGTTGCTATCAGTCCGGGCCTTGTCAGGGTAAGCGGAATGAGCTTGCCCTCGGCTGCCTTCCTCCATCAAGGGATCGGTTAGTAATGGATTCAAGATGAAACGATGAGTGCGCTCATTCTCTTCTTGACCCCACCCCGGCTGATTTCGACGATATCAAGCAGTAGATATGACCTAAATCTCAAGCTTAACACCTGCAAAACTCGGAAAATTGCCCTTCGATGTGATCCTTATAAACTCTATAAATTGAGCTTTTTCGAAGACGAGTTTGCCAGCTGGTTTTATGCAGCACCGATTGTAACCTACAGGATTTCCATGGTCCAGGGTAAAGCGTGCAGCAAAATAAGGGATTTCCTCGAGGGTGGGGGGGGGGGGAGAATGCAGCACATGTGAAACGAGAAGACCGCGAGGAAAATATGACCACCTTTTCCCCCAGTGACCAAATACGATCCCTCTCTTGGGGAAACCCCAACGATGATGCGCCCTGCTACTCATGCAGCCGAACGAAGTCTCAAACCACCGTCTCAGTTGACTTAGGGACCATGCTGTTCACCTTCTTTTCTTATGCACTTGTTCACGAAAGCCGTCCATCATCAGTAAATGTACTGAATAGCGATGAATTACTGCGCTATATCTGGCGCTCAAACAAAAAGAGTCTTAATATGTACACACGTGATGTCTGCAAACGATAAGGCGTGCAACCGGGGTATGGCTTGGAACGCAGCCAGATCAGCTCAGAATGGCATCATTGGTGAAAAAAGAGCGCGTTGGCTCCGCTGAGCTGATCTGGAGTCCGCATCGCGTCACACGCCCTATCATTTGCAAGGATCATGACTGTGTATTCGAACATGTCCTCGCGAGTATTAAGCGGCGAAAGACTGAGTGACAGAAAGAACCCGTCGACTCATTACATTTCCCCCATGAGTACCAGTTATCAATATTCATTTGTATTTTTATTTTGATCCTTTTGTACAGCATCTCCTCCACATAAGAACGATATTATAAGGTTGCAACGGAACACGAACATCTTGTTCGATTCTGAATTTGAAGGAATCTCAAACAGGGGCTTACGGTCTACTGATCTTGATTTTTTGTGGTATCACACAATAAAGGCGCATTCCAAGACTAGAAATCGCGGATAGTCCTCTATTTTGAGAGGGTAGACATTTTTGAGGCGGAGGTGGTGTGGTGACAAGTGGCTCGCTTACCACTCACGCGGTCCTGGGTTTAAATCTTCGACCCCCACCCACGCCAACAAGCCTTCTTTCCTCGAGGGTAAATCGAGGAAATCGGTGCCAGGTTCTTCTGGAAGGATCACAGCACTGACTTATACATCAGCTCCTGCACGCAAAGCATTGTATATGGCACATCGCATTTAATAAGTCGATGTGATTCTGAATGAAAGTAGAATGCGTACCGCATCCCATGCCCAGGAATAGATCACCAGGAAGAGCACCCTTTACACTTTCTAATCGCAAACCTCCACTTCTACGTTAGCGCGTTCGGAAGGCGGAATGGTCGCTGGAGCATGAGTGGTCCAGTGGGGGGCTTAATAATGTCCCATCTAGGCCATATCTAGTTGCAGCAGTGACGCATACAAATTCCTACCACTGGATTTTACGAAGCCGGCCTGTTCTCCACAGCGCCAGGTTATCGCGAAATGTGCTTTTAACGTTCATGGCTGCACTGGTAAACTACTGGTATCCATCGCGGATGTGTTCTACGCTGCCGCTGACTTTATCATATGAGAAACTTTGATTCCTCTCCACTGACATAGCGTTGTGGTCACATTATTTCTGCGCTCATACTCGCGAAATCTAAAAGCTTGGAGTTTGAGCCTGTTCCTGTCCTTGCCTCTGGAATCTGGCCATATCGTTCCACCAGATCGCTACCCTGATCACATAATCACAGGAAAGCTCATTGGAGGCGCGATGAATCCCCAAGACGTGTGGGATTCATACGCCTAGAGGACAAAATTCGGCGCTTCAGCAGCAGGTGCTGCGGCAAGGAAAGTACCCTTATGATATGAAGTGGCTGCGGTGCTGCGTGGGTATATGGGTACGGCGCAGTTTGTCGACGGGGGGGGGGCATTCTTTTCATAGATGTGCCGACCCATCTAGGTAGCCTTTTCTCGAGTTGACACGTTTTAGGATGGTGGCTAGACGATCTTACTCCAGCTTCACAGGCGTTCACAAGTTTTACCATGGTGAGATTCGTAAACCGGAACTAGGGAAGCAATGTTAGTACAAAATGCCCCCGTCGCTAAACAGCGCCTATGGGTACATGACACCTATCTACCGTAGCGGTTATTGGCAGTACTCCAACAAGAAACTCGTCCGAAACTGCTTTCCAAGGAGTTCAGAACATTTACCTTTTTTGTAGGTTTTTCGCAGTTTTACTTCGTTTTTTGGCCATGCTCCCCATTAGTACCCTTGCGAGCAGTATAGATCGTGCACCAAATCATTGTGCCTTATCCCTTTGACCAGGAATCTCAGTTCCTTTATAATGACTAACGAAAATAGCCAAGGTAGCATTTGATAATTCTCCGCTTATCTTTTCTTGAGAAAGAAAGCGTCGTGGTGGGCATGTGGCATTTGGGTAGGACATCTTTCATGCATGAAGTTTCTCTTCGGAACTCTGTCTGAGGCAGATGTAGACCTCCGGAGCCACTCCAGTTGTGCATTTAACTCAATTTGCGCCATCGATTTATAACTCTCGACAGCAATTTGCATCTTGTGACTTCAACCGAAGATGTGTCGCAGCTCCCGTCAGCTCGTATTTGGACGTAAATAGGGTGTATGCCTTATGAAGCATGTGCTCACCAAAAGGGATTAATGACAGCACCCACAAGAGCGCAGAGATTCACTTGCTTTGGTGGGGGCGATTTAGGGCTGCTGACACAAATGTAATTTCAGCCATTTCCGTTTCTACAACGACGAAATTCAATGCGAACATGCAGTCGTGCAGTCTCTTTGAGATACACGCGAAATATTACCCGCAAATGCGAAACTGCAATGAGTTTGCCAAAGGAAATCCGTTGCAGAAACGACGGTCAGAATGAAGATACACAAGGTATCAATTATGAATAGGGGATGCAGTGGTCAAAAGTGCGCTCTAACATGAAATCACAGTACGTGAGGTCCCGATTTGGAAACCGCCGTTGGTGGGAATTAAACTACTTAAGGCCCAAGAAGGAGTGATGCCCATTCGTTTCTTTGAATCTTTGAAGGCATAAGACACATAATTTGGTACTCGGTCAAAAATGGTAGCTGGGGTGTTATAGAGTGGAGAAAAGCGAAAACGGTCAAAAACCTGCAGAAAAAAGGCTTTGTTCTACGCAGAAGTTTCGGACGAGTTCCCCGTTGGCATCGTGCCAGTGAACCGCTACGGTAGGTACGGCTGCATGTATGTACTCATATATCCATGCAGCACCGCAGCCGCTTCATATCAATCCCTTCGCTTCATAGTGCACTTCGAAATGAAGCGATACGAATAACAACATCGTACCGGGTCGGTATGCTCCAGTAATAGGGTATTATGAAGGGTACCGTCCTTGGAAAAAGCGCCAAACAGCGCCTGCTCAGGAGCGTCAAATTCTGTCCTGCCAGGCGTATTAATCCCACACGTTCACAAATATGATGTGATGAACCGGCTAACCGGCTTCGGCAGTGAACCTTCCATCTGAAGATGTTAGCAGTTACTTCAAGTTTCAATCTGTGTCGTTTTTCAAAAAGAGCTTCTTTCTGATCAGGCTAGGAGATCCTCTGTAAGCCGCTGTTCTAATCATTTTTTAGGCTCAATATGGTCGAATTGGCGTATCAAAAGTACGGGTCCATGTAAAATGGATTTATCGAAATTTCCAATGGATACAATTGAATGCATATTGACTTTCGAGTCTTTCAACTACAATAGGGTACGAATCCATGTGAAATTTCATTTCGACCAATGTAAATTGTTGAAGCATGTTCAGGAGGAGGTTCATATGGTATGGAGCGATTCACCACTAATCCAGTTCAAGGACATCGAGCTTCCGGATTTCTCCATGGTTAATTACAGTACATCGGACAACTTAACGGTCAGTATTTTTTGTTATAGTGTTGTGGAGAACCATCTTGATTCTTTTGTAGCAAGTGAATACCAAAGAAATAGTAATTACATAAAAATGTATGTAAAGTTTTTTAACATAGTCAACGTATCTAGCCTCAGGATAAAGTATTTGGTGTGACCATGCTCCAGCGTGACAAAGTCGCGTAATACAGCCTGTCTGCGTCCTCTCGCCGAGATGTCCAAAAAGCAGTTTTTAGGTGCTTCCCCATGGTATATTGGAAGGGACTGTTTACACCCATTTCGCTTCAGAAAGACATGGCAAGACGGTGTATATCTAAGCCAGAAATGAGACGCCCCCCAGCTTCCTTTGCCTCCAGAGTCATAATACCGTCCCCTTAATCACAAAAAGGATATAAGCATCAAGTCTTCGCCGTTGATCAATACTTTTTCGGAATGCTGCACGTTTTCTACCTCCATTTAGGATCGTAGTGCCTTATTGAGCAGAGGCCTTTACAGTGACTTGAGGAAGGCAACCAATGTACTAGCCAGTATTTTGTACTCCCGTACGAATCTGGCACCAATTGACTGTCTCTGGAGGGTCAAAAGATCGGTTTGCTGGGCGTGAGCCCAGCAAACCATGATAAGCGTGCCTTACCACTACACTACCTCCGCTTCCCTTTGAGCAGTACTTTTGAGATTCAATGAAATTTGTAGATTTCGTCCGTCCAATGTTGTCTCCTGTTCACGCATACACATACGTATACATTTACTTACATCAATCACTGAAAGACTCTTTGATTTCGCTCGCATGCTGCCGCTCATCTTTGTCTCACAACATCCAGTATAATATGATTTTCTAGCTCTATGCCGCTGGCTATTGGGATGAACTCACTGTCACGTTCGTTTTTCGGCGACGTTATGGCTGGTATTTACTTCAGGGTAAGATTTATCCAGCAAAATACCTATTTTCGTTGATACAAAATATCTTCGAAAAAAATTTTCTGAGTCAGGATCCAGAGCTAGTAGAATGGTTTGTGAGTTCGAATCGGAATCTTGAGTCCTTAGTAAAATCTTACACGTCGAAACGTTGGACGGGCCAGACTCTAGTGACTTCCAGATACTAGTAGTTTCCCAAAAATGTGAATAGAAATCATTTGACGCGACGCTATCCCTAGGCTACGCTATGCACGGTCATGATTTTTGCAAAGGGGCATGTGAAAGACCATGAATTGGTGCACACAGAGGGCAGCCTTTTCCAGGAACCGTTGTGGACCCTGGCTGCGATCCAATGCACTCCGAGTCATGCGTCCTAACATTTAGGATCATGACTATACCATGCGCTCTTTCATTACCTTACCAGGCATGTTATCGGTTTCTCCAAAAGCTTGCCGTAGAACGGGGAAGGGAGCCGGAGGGGGTAGATAGAGCGGGAGGGAGCAGACAAGAGTGGGAAGCAGGGGCGGGGGTGGATAAGAGCGGGGAAAGGAGGGAAAGGGGGTAGACACTTTTCTTCGGCAGAACAGAAGTTTCACCGTGCCGCTAACTTTAGTTGTTATATAGCACGCGATAAACGGGAGAAGCCTAATACGACCCTCTCTCCCCTTCCTCTCGCAGTGATGGAATACGAGCCTGATCCAAAAGCACGGTATAGGATGGTCGTGCTATAACTGTGAAGTGCTCTTTGATGCATTTCCCCCTCTCTGGAATGGTGAAGACGAAATCGACGTCAATGAAGAACGCGAACGATTGATCCTCTCCGCCTGTTACATAAGAGTGCGAGTGACTTTAGGAATAGGCATTATTGCTTTCTGTGACTTACAAGCGACAGCCACGGTCTTCAACACCCACTGAAAATTCATGAACGCATAACACGTGAAAATTCTATTTAATGTGAAATTTTGTATTCTACCTTTCAAATTTCAATCAAATATTCTATTGAACTCTTCTAGCTCAACTTGATTTCAGGATATATTCCAACTTACATGACTATCTTTATCTCATGGATTCCGTTTTATCTTGGTCCCAAAGCTATTCCTGCTCGAACTATGATTGGAGTAAATGCTTTACTTGCTATGACCTTTCAATTTGGAAATATCATCCGAAATCTTCCCAGAGTTTCATACATCAAGGCAATAGATGTTTGGATGCTCAGGTTAGTGCTTGCAGTGAGTGACCTTTTCCATATTGATCGTATGGGACAGGCTCAGAACCATCTCATAGGGTACTTTTTCTCACTACTGCCTTAGAACGGAGGCGCAGTCATAACACCATAGTGCCAGCCCAGAAGGACTATAGTTCTTCTTCTTCGCAAGGGTCTCCGCCCATCCGGCTGCCGCGGGATATCTCGGAAAGTGTTGAGGTCGTTAGCCTGATATGTCCCACATTCCTACATTTTTCCAGAAGTTGTATCCTACCGGTTCCTATTCTCAGATAAATCTGACCATTTCTTCTAATGAGAAAAATTCATAATTATACAAAAAAGGTCCATATTGATACCGCCCTTCGATATTTTATGCTGATTGCATGTAATTGCAATTAAGGACAAGGCACACTCTTTTGTTTTTCAGTGGGATTTCATTTGTGTTCGCCTCGCTTGTTGAATTGGCAACAATCGGTTATATGACAAGGAACGAAGGAAGGCCAGCAAGTCTGAGTGGAACTTCCGGAAGAAGGTGAACGCCCACATTTATTTTCTATGAATACAGTTTCACGCATAGCTTTGTTGAACAACATGATCAAGTCTAGAACAGCCCTGAAAAATTCATTGCCGTGATTTGAAAGCAGTCTTAAATGACCTCTTCCTAGGTGGAACATCAGCAAGACATCGACCGGTACGGAATTGCCAAGGAAATCGCGAAATATACAATTCTGCGAAAAAATCGATTTCTATGCCCGAATAGGATTTCCACGTGAGTTCTCTGGAATACAGCTCAGAAACCTAGGATTCCATCATGTGAAGCCTTTCTCTCCCCTGGACAGATTGCAATAAAACATCAACAGGTACAATAACAATAGGCAACAAGAGTTGTGGCTGCGAGAGTGGCGAAAGGGTTCAGACGGTATAGAAGCAGAGACGTATGTACAATGGAAGAGAGACGGCACAGGGCCAGACAACCGTTGTCTCGAGGCTCCGCGGGAAAAGGCACCGGCGAGCGTACGCGTGGCATTCTTAGTTTGCGATAACGCGATTACGCGGCGAAGAGGAACAAAAGCCAGCGCTGTCGCTTTGCAATGCTGAAGGCAATAACTTTTTTGCACTCTGCCAGTGAGTGGTAAGCACCAATAGGACAACGGAAATGGCAGGGAATAACGAATGATGACTGAATAAGAACACCGGGACATAGCTAAAGCCAACTGAAAAGTACATTTGAAGAGTAGGGGAACATTAGCACGGCGCTATCGAAAGCATCGAGGCAAACGCGCAAGCTCTTAACCGGTTCAAAGGACGGTTGTTCCTCGGTAATACCAGTCAAGCTCTCTTTGCTACAAAACTCCTCGAATTTCACTCGCTCAGGCAGCATTCATACTCGCAACAGCCGCGATCGTGGCCATCACTAGTTGGCGACAGAGCGCTCGCTTAGTCCGAGGTATAGGAAGTTCTCCTCGTTGCAAGAGTCAACTTGACAGCTGTTTTGCGAACGGTTCCCATGGAAAGCGGCATCACTTGCAACAGCCACACTTCCACCAATCTTTTTCTAAGTCACGATGATTTTTTGGAAATGTGCCGTATAGAAACTCAGGTGCTATTCTGTCATAGCACTGTTCCACGAAATTTCCTTCTTAGGCACTAAACTATAATAAGTACAATTGATAACGTGCAGCCAGTGGGCGCGGTTTTAAGAGAAATGGAATGAGCCCCCTCATAGCGTTTCTACCACTGCTTTTTTTTCTCAAAACGACCACTAAGCGATCACCACTGGTAGAGCAAGGCGGCCCGAGGCGGGCTCACTCCATCTCTCGTAAACCGCCCGACTGACTGCAACGTTATCAACTATAATCGGCACTTCGTCAACCGCTGGTTCAACGAAATACCGACTACTTATCATTGTCTCTAGAAATTACTCCTTGTTGTTTTCAGTGGTATACACATGTTACAACTTACTATATTGGCTAGTTTTTATGAAAAGCGCTCTGGATGGTGCGCCAATGTAATTCACGATTATGCTGTTAAATGAATCGTCATCAAATCAACACGGTTGGACATCTTAATTTTTCATCACTCTCAACAATACCGCTGTCGCTGTACAAGTTATAAGAGATTGCGTCTTTTCACGGGTTGTTTTCTGGACCCAACACTTATGAAATCTTCTCTCGTTATTCATTCGTCCTATGCAGCTTTCCTCTACTGAAATATCGCTGCTTTTACTGATGACTATATCATTTTTTAACCTTCTTTCAACTTTTGTGCCTTCTGAATTCAAGTGGAAGAGTTATGTTAATAAATCTGCTATAGCCGGAATTCCTACAGTACACAGTGGAAGGAGCTCGAAGAAACGGGTCTGCGGGCAACTTGAACTTAATTCCTTTGAACGCGTCGATCTTCTCTTTTTCTCTGCACTCTCTCGTCCGCATGGCACTCTATGGCCGTTGTGACTTCGCTCACTCCAGCTTTTCACCGACTATAAGTAGCTCACCCACCCCGGAGTCCCCTTCCCGTTTTTTGCACGTTTCGATGCTTTAGCAGCCGCTGCCCTCGCCTCTTACTAAACAGAGGGTAGCTGAAAATAAACATCCTAGAGAGAGTCAACTGCCATAAATCCAAATGGCCATCAGGGCGCTTATAACTTTCAAGGGTATGTGAAGAACTCCTTGTGCAGAAGTGGCAAAAGAGAGAAGGCGCTCCTGGATACACTCATATCCAGAAAATGGTAAGGGCGTGGCTCCGGACTTCATTCCAACATAGCTTAGGATGCTTTTCTCGTAGAATCATTTGTTCAGTGTCGGACGTATGATTACAAATTTTCCAAAACAGCATTAATCTTCTAAAGCGCAGCTACTTTCACGCTTGGCTGAAGCACGCAGTTACGCTCTCCCAATCCCTGCGGTATGGAGTGCATGTCAATCTCAAGTACCCTCATGCCATTCTATTCATTCCTTTCTCGATGGTGTGGTCCTGCCTTCCCACATGGTGCCCCCCTCTCTCTCTTATGGTGAACTATGTATACATCGCATGCGAAAAATCAAAACACATATTCAGGTACGCGTTAATGGAATTGGACTAAGAGAGGTCAATCAAACAGTCGATCCGGTTTCAACTCACCACCTTCTTCTCCTAAAGACAAATTCTGCCCTAACAACCAGCTCCGTGGATCCAGGTCCTTGCCCATGTGCGGAATGGGTCTGTACCCCGCAGTGGTATGCCACTTTTCAATGTCAAAAGTGCAAGGGAACGCGGTTGGAGGGTAGTATCACCCGGATGCCACGTACATACTGCTCACATGCTGCCGCACGACTTGCCACACTCGTGAGCATAGCTAAACACGCTACCTGTCTGCGCCCTCTCATTTCTATTCTCTAATGCTCTGAATGCTTGTTTCCCGCGGGACCTGGGTATCGTCGCAAGTGCTGCAAATGGTAGGAGTAATGAGGCGGCTCTTGGATATCACACTCATGTGACGGTAGGACCACAAAATGTCGCGCGCGACAAAATGCATTTCAGGATGGTTACGATCGGGTGTCCGCTTGCGATGATTTAACGCGTTATCGCGACATTGACATTCGCCACTACTTTTTCAAAAGGGATCCGTCATACCTCAGCAACACCACAGTACACTCGAGATCCCTGAGATCGGGTAGGCGTGGCCGCATGTTTCAACTTACCCTTAAGGCGTCTACGCTTCTGATGCGATATTTTCATCTCGACACAATCGTTGTCGTGTCTCTGTCCAACACAGAACAAGATGACAGTTGTCCCAGACTGGAATATTCCACTAGTAACCAGTTCCTTACAGTGTTCGAATGCTCCGCCTACCCGATCTCAGGGATTTCGAGTATAAGTACAGTCAATGAGAGTATGCTCTCAAGAAATGCATTTGCATATTTGTTAAATGATTGGGGACCCAGTCAATGAGCTGAACTGGTTCGCGAGCAGAATCTGTGTAGTTTTCTATGCACGATAATTACTATGTAATCACTCTAGTTATGTAAAACTAAATTTAACGGCCATGAAAATTTAGGTCCTACCAGACGTAGGAGCATGGCTGAAAACTGAAGCGAACACAATCTAATTTAGTAGCGCAATGACATGATGGTTTATCGAGAGCGTGCGCTCCACAGCGTACACGCGACGTTCACAGACAGCAGCGCGTGTCGCTCGTGTTCCTAAAATTCGTCTCTCTTTTAACACTACCCTCCAGCCTCGCTCCACAGAACTGCTACGTGGAAAAAGTCGCCATGCTACTGCAGTTGCAAATCCATTCGTTTCGCAAATGACAAGGATCGTCCTCGGATGTAGGTGTAAACAGCGTTCAGACTTCGCGAAGGTTGCACTCCGGTCGCGCGTTCGACGCGATCGATGCTAATGAAAGCATGCGCATCGATCGTCGAATCGCGCGACCGAAGCGCTGCTGTCAAGAAGTCTTAACGCTGCCGTACACTTTGTCTTCAGCTCAACCCTCTTGAAAAACTTGAAAATTCTGAAGCAAGTGATTGAAGCAGTCCACTTTTATCGTGTTTTCGACACATATATACAATCGCTAAATGAGATCAATGTTAGCGACAAGGCATATGTCAACAGGACAGACAACAATATACAATTTAATTATATTATTAAAGCGACTAGCAAGGCTAATCGTTTAACCTATAAGCAACCCTATTTGATATTTTTAGTAGTATTAATTTTACATTTCATACAAAATTTATACTAATTTATTTCTTCACTCGGAGCGCTGCCGTCACTTTGGTGAACAATTTTGCCAGTCGTTTCGTAGTAAAGCAATTAACACCCGCATTATAGAGTTTGTCGATTTGACGATTTAAATAGTCCTCGGTTCCAGGTAAGGGATCCGCCGGTTCCGCAAACGTTGTCTCGGACTGAAAGTAGACATTATTAGCGAATGGAAGATGTCGTTCTGACCGCACTGGAACATGATCCACAAGAAAAACCCGCTCTGTCAGGCAGTACTGAATAATGCCTATCAGTCGATGAGCGCTATTCCTTCACCGTCGGAACACACCATTATCGGAAATTCGTCAAACCGGGGTAGTATTTCTAATTTTAAGATGGGTCTTACATCAGCTTTGGGAATGGTGGCACTATTCACCCTGCCCCCCTCACATGAAGCCAGGCCAGTTTTTGACCGACTTTTTTCCTTGAGTGTAGACTTGGCTTTGAATGTTGTCCCTGAGGTAACTCGACCTGAGCACGAATATCACATATGCTTGACCGAAACCTCCTGACGCACGCGTCAAAGGCTTGGCGCCAGAACACCGTAGGTCACAAAAATCGCTGAAAACTTGTTCCCAGGAGTAGGGGTGATAAAAAGTTGAGGTTGGAGTGAAGGGAGCACACATGGTGGCGCAGCCTGCTTCTGCTCGCCTACACGCTTCCCCGTGATAGTGATCCATTCCTCTACTAAGGCTCAGCCTTAGTAAAGACAAGGATCACTGTCAAGACAATGAGAGAGGGTGCTCCTTTTTTCATCTCATGTTACACACGCCGTAGTCTAAACAAGCATGTGAGTCCTTGTGACGTAGGCGTGATACAGTTACAGACAAAACGGATGTGATGGTTCATGGAGCTCAGACATCCTACAGACTTGTTTTCCATAGTTTTGGTGTCACATTTGGCGCTGGCACACGGACATCAGGCGGTTTCAGGTCAGGTGGATGTAAATAAAACTCGCGCTCAAGAGGTCAAACTACCCCTTAGAACAAGATTATAGCGAATTCTGTGAGGTCGCGTATTTTACCGCCGGCGTCATGAGGTACTGGATCACACGGATGTGATATTTATGTTCAGATCAGGCTCCTAAGAAAACAACTTTTTCAGCCAAGTCTGCCGGACAAAAAAAAGTCGTTCAAAGACTGGCTGCATTTCCAACAATTGGGGAGAAAAGGGTAAAAAGTGCCAGAGCGGTTTATGTTTGGCCTGATAAAATTTTTTTGATTGTTGGTTCCTTTTCTTTAGTCGATGATGCTGCAGCAGGAGGGGGTGGGGGGGGGATTACGAAAACATTCAACGCCACGATTATGTGCCCTGGCTGCAGCGCCTACAGTCGTCATCCGGGCAGTTGATTAGGCGGTCGTCGAAGGGTCGCAGACGCGGCTGCAGCAGCGACCGCGTACGTAGGAACTGTTGGCGGCGATCAGCTGTTTCCGGCCTGGTTTAGTCATTTTCTCCCTACTTTTCACTGTTTTTGGCTGCTTTTCTCAAGGTTAGTTGTTCCTTGTCTTCACAAGGTAAATTATGATTGAGATTTCTCTAATTTTTGCGAACAATTAAACAATTAACAAACAACTGAACAAATACCTAAAAAAGTCGTAAAAAGACTTCATCACGAAAACAAAAAAAATCCACGTTCTAACTGCACCATAAAGACAAAAAACAAGTTACTTTGAAAAAAAATTAGAAAATACAGTGAAAATCAGGGCGACAGTGGCTAAACCAGGATGGAAGAAGCTTAACGCGGTCAACAGTTCCTACGTGAGTGATCGCTACCGCAGTCGCGTCTGCGACCCTTCCAGACCGCCTACTCTACTGCCCGGGTGACGACTGTACACGAAATATGCAAAAACTCAGTATTTCACCTGTAATTCACGCCTTTTCATAGAGAGAACTCTCCACCGCATGACTGATGCCTCGATGACGATATTGGCCTTACCCCTGAATCATATCCCAGGAAGGAAATTATCGCTCATGGTCAGTGACTTCATGTTATTCCCATGGGCTGTGAGCGCAGCCAAAATTATCTGTTTGTCAGTGTCCTGCCTGCCTCGAGGGAGGGAATGTGTGTGAAGGGTTCCGAGAGCCTCTGCGGGCAAAACGAGGACAGTATACGGCCTCAGTATCCCAATCTTCCTCAATGTCACGCTGAGTAACAAACTCATCGTGGCATGACAAGACGGAAACTTCATTACTCCCGTCCGCAAATAGCCACCGTAATACTAGGCATCAAACAACACGGGTACAATATAAGTAAGTATAATAAGCCAACGGGGCAAGATAAGATGAAATGTGTGCACTCTACACCCGATGATGTGAACCCTTCTATGCAATTTTACCTCAACTATCCCAGTATTGGGGCGAAGGTGATATAACAATGAATGACGCCGATTTCCGGGCCGATATCCGTGGACCTATAGAAATTCGCTTAGCCCATACCTTTCATCCATTCGGAAGACTCACCCGAATGGATGATGACATAGACTTGCGCAACGAAGCTGGCCCTCACAAGTCACGAAAAGTCTCAATAATATTTGAAAAGCACTACGATTTTGAATAAAAGCGAAATGCGTGGCTCAGCTCAAAATGGACTGATCAATGCTAACGCCCGTAATCTAGGTCCCTGTATCACGGTATTCATCTACGGATGTACTAAAGTTCTGTTCTCAGTAGGATCCGCACTACGTCGCCAACAAAGAAGACATAGGTACAGTAGATATCATCGCGATCAGTGTTGAGTGCGAGAGGGATGGACTGGTCCCACAAGCTGGCATGGCTGCCACTGGTTGTTTTGTTTGTGAATCGATCACTAGCCGACCACCATTGGTAGAGTAAGGCAGCGATAGGCGGGCCATTCCGCCCTTCCTTTCACCGCCCGGCCCACTTTATGA